GCTTGACTCGCCTTCGACTGGAGGCTGGTCGAAGAGACCTGGTAGGGGCGAGTCTCCTCTGTTGAAGAATACGCTCCTGGTATCGGTGATGTCGCGGGAGTCGGTTGACTCGGCGGTGGCGCTTCTGTAGGAGTCGGTGCTCGACTCTGAGGATCGTGAGCTGGGTCGCGACGATCCGTAGAGGGACTCTCCATAAAGAGAGTGTAGCTCTAGCTGAGGGGTTCCTGGGACGGGTAGTGTTTGCTGCGAGGCCGCGGGGATGTCTATCACCTGCGGGGGATATGCGGGTTGGCTGGGCACGTAGTGGAAGGGAAGCTGAGGTCGAATCCTTCTCTGTTGCCGGCAGCAGCGGAGTGTGTAGTACAAAGAAATGGACAAGAAAAAGGTGATAAAAGTTACGAAGATTGCAGGAATGGCGTCGGACCAGGGCATCCGTATAGATGTCTATCCTTGGCGTAGGTCGACGATTGACCATGCAAGCTGGTATACCGCAAGGATGGTGAGAACGATTAGGAGCGCAATGATCAAGCTAAGGTCGGTCTCGTAATTTGAGCCGTTCATTAACAAGATCTCACACTCGTTGGAATCAGGGAAGCTTGTTACTATCAGCAAGATGATCGTCAATAGCGATGCAAGCTGGAGGGCGAGTACGAAAGGTTTCGTGTTGGGATACGTGGTTCCTAAACAAGACGGGGGTATAACGTATACAGGGCGACTAGCAGACTTGCTAGCAACACTGCCGATATTCCGAGTCCGATTAGGAGGAAGGTTAAGTATACAGTCAAGAAGACTGCAAGGAGTAGGTTGTCGTAGAAGATGAATCCAAAAATCAAGTCGAACACGAGCAACAGGAGGAGTAGTCGGAATGGGATTACCCAAAGGACTACTGCAACGATGAAGTGTATCGGCTGAATCTTGAAAGTGAGTGCCTTTCCGTCGGTCCACTCGCTATGCGTTGACAAGCACCGGGTTGTCCACACGAACGCAGGCGATGACCTCCTCTGGTCAAGCAAGGGTAATTTCTCGAAGATGGTTGGGCAGCGCTCTTTCTGGAAGTGACGCTGAGCAACGTAAAGCGAGCTTCGGCTAAATGTAAGCCACTAACTCTATCGACTTAGATGTGTTAGGGTCGCTACTCGCACTTCGGTAGGCGACGATCCAACAGATCAAAGGCAACGAAAGTCGATGGGACAGATAGTCACGAAGAACGGAGTTCAAGTTAGGTAGAATAAACCTTAGCCGAAGCTGGGGTTTAGACCAGCTGAGGCTCTACTTAAATACACGTTGCGTAGGCTAAAGATAGTGCCGCAGCAACGTCCGATCGAAATCGCAGCATAAAGTAAGCGTGAATACGTAAGAAAAGAAAAAGAAAAGAAAAAGAAAAGAATAACCGTAACACTGTGGCAGAGACATGATGCATTTGGATCTATACCAGGTGCTCCATTGGCTGCACGATGTCTTCAAGTACAGTTACCATGCTCATCCTCACAAGGGGGTTGCGGGCCGTCAGCCTGGCACATCCGGTTGGTCGGTTGGTCGGCCAAAAAGGTCACTAAAAATAATTTGCCATACCAACCAAAATAGCATATGGGCATCCCATATTCGATGATAACTCCCAATTTACATCCCAAATGACCAAAAGCAGCTCCAGAACCCGAGATACACTGGATTCCATTCTGCCATTTATTGGCACAGCGATTAGTCAGGTGAGTTCGGTCACAAAATATTTTCTTCCGACCATCTGCCACTTTTATGTCGGGTTTTGTCTCCTGGCTTTGCCTACATATAGGCATGAGATGATGTATATATTCAGTATCTGATTGTCAGGGATAAATATTAGGAGCAGCCAGGTCCTGCAGCACTTGATAAAGTATGACGAGGGAAAATATCATGTAGAGACCAAGGTAGAGACACGCAAAAGGACAACGGCCGAAAATCTCAAGTGATATGTAAGCTGTATTAGTCACAGAATCTATCCTTTATGGGTATGTTATTCCCATGCGGTGGGTCGGTGGGTCGGTGGAGGGCTTAAAAATAATATCGACCCGATATGATTTTCTTAACTTTTACTACCCCCTTGCATCCTCATGATGACGACGATTATTGTACGTCCAGGCTGCAACACGAAAATTGGAGGCGAAGAGCAAATAACTTGTCCTTTCCTACCTCGAATAATAGCCTTCCACCTGCTTGGGCGGAAATGTTTCTGGGAGGCACGAAGATCAGGAGGGCTTGAGTTTTCGAGCATCAACGTTTCCCGCCTGCATCCCTTTCGACAATCTTTTTCGGATACTTTTGTTTTTGCGTTATAGCCAATGAACGGCTAGATGGACGAGCGAATGCCTTCCTGACCAGATAAATTCGGTGCCACCAACACAGACCAATCCGCTTCCTTCACATTTCGCAACTTGAAAATCTGGAAGAATGGAATAGTTTTCATGTTGTTTTGTCTCAACTGCATAAAGTTCAGTATGCGGTGGAGGAAACGTATCAGCTCATGGTTCAGTATGTGTCTTCTTCAATGCGCTCTTTTGCCTTCCTCATAAGTCATATTTGTTCAGCTCTAGATCTTCGAAGGGGGCAGGGAGAAGGGGTTGACATATGGAGCGCTGTGCTGCATCTCATTCCTTTCTTTAGCCACTGCCAATGATTCCCGGTATACGAATATCTGCGTCACCATGCACTCGTCACCCTGAAAAGTGCCAAGACCCTCTGGTGGACACATTCCAACATGTCCTACTGAATAACACTCGCTTTCCGAAGATGCATGGCAACCCCTGATTCAAGGAGGAAGCTGATGAGCGAGCAGAAAGATGACAAACTGTGAAGACAATTCGGGCATTGAAAATGCATTATTGTACGTTGCGAACGACCTGGACACCACAATTCATGCTTATGACACCGTCCTCTCACAGCATATGGTACTAGTCATGGCATGAGATATAACCGGGCTCATCCCAGATGCTTCGCCAGCGGGATGGCTTCTCCAAACAAGTACGGCGTCCACCGTCGTTACAATAACGCTTCTAACTGAAAAGCAAAAACTCGTGGCGAAGAACTAATTAACTAGTCCTCTCAGCTCGAGTTATACTTTGTCAGCTTTGTCGCCTCGGTCTACGTTTCAAGGAGGAGAGCTTCATGGTGCTTGTCCCATTTCAGTCAGTTTTTATACAACTGCGCATTTCTTCCTTTTCTGACCATGTCCCAAGTCTAGCCATGACTGACCGTCCCTGCGGTCTTGGTGAGGATGAGTAGATGCATAGATGAAGGGACGGGAATGATCCTCACATCTACAAGGGTACGATGATTCAACCATTATATGTTCCTTGATAGTCTAGCAGTTTTCTCATGAGCTTAGACCCTAAGTCTGGCACTGACTTTTTTTTTTTGCCACGGTATGCTATCGGTATTCGGTGTAACAAAAAGGATCGAAATTCAGATTCCTACTGGACCGTCTCGTTTTTTCCTCGTCGGGCTGCATCGCTGTTAGTATATTCGTGGTAGTCTGATGGTTACAAGACCTGGGTTTGAGTCCCGATCGGAGAATCTTTGGCTTCACTTTCTCTCATTTTTCTGACTACATCCAGTTCTGAGTCCTGTGTATACAGGTCTCGGTCTTATGCAGTCCTGAGGGTTTCGGTGGCGGTGCATTTTCATTACCTCCGAGGTTTCCCCGTGTACATACGTCATCTTATTTCGGCAATATCGGCATAATTCGGCATGATCCAGCATTCATCATTCTTTGGGCTTTGATGCCCTTTTCGAGTCCGCTTCTGCTATCTGCCCATGTTTCAATAGTTGTTCGTCTTTTCCTGAACATCTTGTGTCGCCCAACCACTATTTGTATTATCATGTTTTAAAACCTACGACTTTGACTCTTAGTACCCGACCTTAACACACGACTCAGCCGCTACCAACTCAGCCAAGTTCATCGCTGTTGCACAAAATGGCGGTCCCTCGATACGGCAGAGGTCAAACGCAAGCCCGAAACGAATGACAAGTCGAGTTCAACGAGGACACCCAGGCCCACTATCTCTGAGTATGCCAGCGAGTTCAAGAGCTACCGTGGGCGCAAACGCGTCCTTCTCTGCAGGTGGCATACTAAGCTTCGCGTTAACCGATTCTATATTATAGCCTAGGTTTAGCCGAGCTGATATAGCGAAGTGTTTCTTGCTAGGAAGCGGGAGACGGGGGAAATCTGTGGCTTGAAAAAGATGAAAAAGAAGATGTTCAAGATGCATGATTGATGAGGTGCGTTCGTCGCCATTCGATATGAGACTTACTTCTTCTAGATCTGCTGTTTTTTCGTTGAACGCAATACTTGGACCGCAACCAAAACAGAGTCCATCAAACCCTTCCTTCCGATAGAAGTAACTCGTCATGGTATGGCCACAAGCGTTGGAGACACGTCTGAACGGACTTTCAAAAGCCTCTATCTCTGAGATCTGAGGTGTCCTAATTTGCTAAAGTATGTGTATGTTGTTAAAATCTTTTATCTCTGTACAAGCTCAGTAGTTCACTAGATTCATCACGCAGGCTCAAGGTTAACATGGGAACTTAACTCGACACTTGACCCTGGCCTTTTCTCACTGGAGGTATAGCCCGAAATTTTTGACGTGCGTGTACCGATAACTTAATGTAACTTCCTTTTACTGGAACTTGCGCTCAGCATGCACTGACCGGCCAAGATCTTCTCGTACAAGCTCGCACCGGAACCAGTAAATTATCATCCCTGTTCTTGCGAACCTACATTAACGTGTAACAAGGAAAACCTTAGCCTTCTTCCTTCCTGTCATCGAAACTTTATCAAAGAGCAAGACTCAGAAAGGAGTTTCGGTCTTGGTGTGCTCGCCGACTCGGGAAGTGGCAATTCAGGTGCGTATTCATCTATTTGTGTTGGTACAGGACATCTAGAGCTTAAAATTTCTTCCTTTTGCCCATCTTATATTGCTAGGGAGGCAGAGACTCTTGCAAGCCCTCACAGTTTGAAAATCTTCATCATGACGAGTCTTGCTTCTGGCAGCTCGTATCCCTCTGGAACCTCACTCGCGAGAGGAATAACTTCTCTCACTCCCCCGCAACAAGTAAGTGGTAACTGTATTCTGTGACTTTGCTCCTCATATATACCAGCTCCTAGGCAGAGCTTGCCAAGTTCAATGGCCAGGGTTGTGATATCGTCATAGCGACGCCTGGTCGTCCGGCTGACCACTTGGAAAATCATGGTTTCAATCAGCATCTCTCCCTTAAGGATTATATTATGGGCAAAGTCGATTAGTTGTTGGACGCTTGCTTCAAGTCACAATTGGATCAAATTCAAAAGTACCTGCCTAAGGCACCCAGACAAACTCTTCACTTCTCCGCCACGATCAGTAGGGACGTTCAACAGGTTAGTCAGCCGTGTCTTTGCTCGACGACGCCGCGATACTCAAGCTCATCTAGATTTCCAAGAAACAACTAAGAGAAGGTTTCCAATACGTCAACACAATTCACGAGGATAAACGGCCTAGTCACGAGCATTGTACATTCTAATCAGTGGATTCTCTACCTTGTATTGTTCACACGCTGTGATTCCTGCAGTCGAGCGATCCCATATAATCACTCCCTTCCCGCAGTACCTTGTAACTCTGCTTTGTTTAATTAAAGAAGATCAAGATATGCACAAAGGCTTATCGAAACAAGTCATCTTTTTCCCTACAGCCCGCCACGTTGATGCCGCGTTCCACGCACTGTCAAATATCAAAGGTCCCTCAACGCTCGCTTTAATGCACTCCCGGTTGTCCCAAAAAGCGCGTGAGCGCAGCTCTGACAAGTTCCGGGCTGAGAGCAGCGCAATTCTGCTTTTGAATTACACTCTCACGCAAACATCAATGTCATGTATCTCCGGCCTCGTGGTCAATCAAGTTTTGGACATCACGACCGGTGAGAAAGGGACAATGATCTCATTGAAGCAAGCCTAGGTGCTTTCCGCTCACACAGGACTCGGATATGCCATGCTCCGCGATGGCCCACCACTTCATAATTGACATGAGCATCGCACCACCTCCCACTCGCCTAGGAGGCAATGCATATGGCACACTGCAATGTTCTCAATGACGCCATGGACCATTTCATTGTCATCGAGTCGGATATCTCATCCTTTCCATTCGGCATCCTCTTCCAGGGTATTGTGGTTCTTTGCTTCATGACCAACACATGGAAAATACGACTAGACGGATGAGCGAAGGCCTTCCTTCCTGTTCCATCTCTTGCAGATCGGGCAGAGTGGAGTCGCCACCATGGCATTTTAGTATTTAGCTCGACTGCACCAAGTTCGGTATGCGATGGAGGAAGCGTTTCCGCCCGTAGCTTGGTATGTGGTTTCTTCAGCCCGCTCCTTTTTTCCTTCACTTAATATAAAATAGCCTCCCAGATTTTGATGGCCAGGAGGGAGGAAGAGGAAGAGCGGGGAGAAAGAGGAACGGGTATTTGAAGAAGTCGACCCGGCGGTGGCATTCCAACCTTTCCTACCAGCTCTCCCGAGTTACCTGGAAGCCCTCGATTCAGAGAGGTATCAGGCAGTGATCCGGGCGTTGACGATATACTGCTGTATGTGACGAATGACCCAGATACCGGGATTAATGCTCGTGATGTTGTTCTCTCGTCGCGCATGGCGCACTCCTAGTCTCAGTCAAAGCATGAACATGAGATGTCACCAGCCAGACGGCTTCTTCAAGTGCAAGTACGTCGTCCATCCTGGCGACTGTGACGCGTTCGAACCTAAAGTTTGTTCGCAGGACAACCTCATATCCATCCTTGTATGCGACTGAAGAATTGCCCATGGATGGATCCTCCTGGTCAGTTGTCATATAAACGCGTACTTTCTTCCTTACTGGCTGTGTTCAGAGTCCAGCCACGTCACGCTCCCGGTGCAAACAGTTGTTGCGGGCAGGTGGAGGTCGAAGAATCCATCGTGGTCCGCAATCCTTGTCGGCTGTTGAGTCGTCTTACTATTAGTATATTCGTGTTGTGCTTTCTGGTAGTCTCGTGGTATCAACCTGGCCATAAGACCTGGGTTCGAGTCCCAATCAGGAGATGCAATGATTACGGTGAGGTATTTTTCATTTTGATTGTATTTGTGAGCGCTGTTGTTGCATCCTTGTAACTTGTTATTGTTAGGATAGTAAAGACCTAGTTTCTCATGACACCCGGATTCACTCGTTCGAGTATCGGTCAATGTAGACTGTGTTTGTCCCCTGGTAGTCTAGTGGTGTCGTGCTAACACTGGGTTCGAGTCCCAGCCAGAGACGTCGGAAATGGAAAAAGTAAGATTTTTGACTGGGAATGTTCCATCGTGCTGTTATTTTTGAACCGAGGTGCGTAGGAGGGTTGTGTGGGCTTGATGCTATTTTATTCATACCCGGATCCTACTATGAAGAGACAGAATTGGTGTCAAGATTAATCGCTAGCTGCGGGGAAATTCGTGAAGCTGTATCGTTTCTCCCATATTATATGGAAATTGTTAGTCTCTCCACAGTTAGTTAGAAGAGTTGTTAAAATCCTGGGCTGCCTGATCAGGGATTTAATGCTTATGGTTCAAGTTTGTATATGAGCTCCGAGGGCTAGCGCGGTTTGCTTCACACAATGTTGGAGGGAAAATACATCAGATAGGTAACTATGCATTTACAATGGCGTAATCAAAATCCTAAGGTCGTACGACGTCCAGTAAGTATGCATACACCCAATCGTGAGGGAGACGCGGTCGGGAGATGGAAAGCACTCGTACGACGTGTTTCCTGGATCAGCATCATACGGGGGAGTGTACGGTCTCGTTCACATCGGAGTGCAGTTTCCATAGGTACTGCTCGCTGCCTTGGGGTTCGTCTAGTGGAGATTCTGGGGAGTGGACCACTATAGCAAAGTCACTGCGACAAGGACATAAGTCGTGGAGTCAGAAAATGAAACATGGCGCTCACCTGCGGATATCCCACTCGTATGAGTCAGGACGGCGTATGGGCAGTTCTCATTTCGTGCCTTCAGACGTCAAAGGTCCATGATTCCTTCTTTGATGGTCTGCCCGAGCCCGGTAATCCTGTATGTAAGTGTGATGGAAGTCGACAAAGGATTTTTGAGATCACAGACTTCGCAGACGAGGATGGCCATGATGGCGAGAAGAAGATGGGACATCCATGATCCAAATCGGGCGACGCGTCACTGTTGTTCCAAATCACGTGGCGCGTGCGACTGCCGTTTAGAACTTTTCTGAAGCCAGTTAATTTTTCGCCGGTCCGACTTCCGACGTTCAAATTAACGCTCAAGACGAAACCCAGTTGGGCCTGTCAGCATATGCATATCTACTATCAGGAAACAGGTATGGTAAGGGATGGAACAAGGCGGTGGAAACGAGACCTGCAGGCCGTCAGCGGTCTGGTGCGTGACTTTGCTGTTGCTTCCTTTCGCTTTTCTCAACCACAAAGCTCTTAAGTGCGCACAGTGATCCCCTTCCCGCCCGGGGTCTGTCCCGATTCGACGTCCCTTTCCGGCACTCGGGTTTTTGCTTTGTTCTTACGACAAGGTGCACACTATAGTTCGAGCAGAGCAAGGAGCACGTTCGCATGATGGCACGGAGGCTTTGTCCCTTGTGAGTGACTTTGCTGCACTTCATTCCTTTATACTGATGTTGGTTGTAGACCAAAAGGGACTTGAGAATGGCTCCGTTCGCCCTGTGCTGATAATGGTCGTTACGCTCAGAGTCTATCCAGCTACCAAATCTTTGCTCCTCATTATCTTGGCCCGCCCAAGGTACGAATCGAGTCTTCTCTCGTTCGAGGGCATTGAAAAAATTCAGATTCGTGGACACCGGTGCGATAGGTCTTTCTTTCGGCATGTTTCCGAAGTCATTCCAATTATGTTTTCCCATCTCCCCCCAGACAGAGTATTTTTTCGGTGAGTTCAACTTGTAATTCTGGCGTCGCAACGAAATCCTTCATTGATCATTAGTCTAGTTGCTATTCATCCCTACACAGGTGGCAAGCTCATACCAAAGGCGAGCGAGAGTTTGGGGAGAGTAGTGACACGCTCTGGTGATGGTCTCTGGTAGTGCATGGGTTAGTACGCGCACCTGAAATGAATCTTTCCCTGTTCTTCTTCATAGGTTCGACTCCCGGCCAGTGACGTGTATAGACCGCTTTGTCTTTTTTTGTTCATTTCCTGACGTCAATGTTTATGATGGACCAATCCCGGTCTACCTTTTTCATGGGGAAGAGGGGGAAGAGTGTGATGACTGATCTACTTCCCAATTCCCCGCACTTACACGAGAAATAGTCATAGTTTTATTCGACTAGTTTCTCTGAGTTTAAATTACTGTGGGACGGGAGTGGCTGAAATCTGGGGACATGCGATGTTCACTTGCTTATACTTCATTTAGCGCTGTGGTTTCGTCGATGGCCGTAATTACCGGTGATTCGAGGTCACTCCATAGGATTTGAGCTCAGATTAGCAACCGCGATCAAGTAGAAAATTCTTAGCGCTGACGCGTCTGTCTCAGTGCCGGTGGCATCCTTGATCGGATATTGGTTCCAGAAGCCTTCGAAATCAGAAAAATCTAAAAGGATTCTCTATATTTGGAAGGGAAAACGAGTCTTCTTTTCAGGGACCCATTGAAGATCGGCGGACATGGCGCAATGACATGAGTCAAGACACTATATATGATATTATCAATTGAGTTGTGACAGTGGAGGCGCAGACACGAGGCCGGTTTTGCGGAGCTTTAGCATATTTGGGATGCAAAAAGTTCCGTAGGATAAATAGTCGACGGAAATGGTCCATGGTACTATAAAGGTCTCTCATTACACTACCTCATTTTCTTAACGGATAGGCCACAGCTCCGCTCGCGACATGTCATTCAGCACTTTCGAATACCCCCAAGTTCTTTATGCTGGCTTCCAAGATGATAGGTATGTATCCTTTCTAGTCCATGCATCATACCTAAAGCCATGGCCTAATGGTATCACGCTACCCGAGGTTGGAGTCATTGGGTCTGGGGGGGGGGATTTAAACCGAATCAGAGATAAATAGAATAAACCGGGTGAGAAGAATGATACGACCGTCTCCCACACTAGCCGCGTCTCCGTTATTTCTCAGTCAAAGCCGAGTAATATCCTTCTTTACAAGAGCAAGGCTTCCCATTTTGTCGCGCTGTTGCCACACGAATCGCTCGCTGTATTGGAGGCTTGGAGACACATTAAGCGGAGATTCGGAGGCGAAGACAAAGTCGGACATAAGATATAGATTTAGGAAAGCCAATATGGTAATTACTGGACGATATCGCTCTGATACGGATCAGGACAGACATATGGGCAATTCTCGTCTCATGCGACGAGTCTGAAGATGAAGAATTGAATGGCGCGTCGGTGGTGTGTTGAATCACGTGGTGCGTGCGACTGCCGTTTGTGAACTTTTTCAAATTCCGAAGCGGCGACCGATACACTCATACAGACTGGATGTTGTTCTTTGTCGCTGCTCCAATTTGCACGGATGCAGCTCCGAGCGTTCAAACGTTCAAACTTCCTGTTTCTACCACGACACCACATTCGCGAATTGATTTCAAGTCATTTTTCTCCCCAGCCATATGCAGGTGCAAAAATTGGGATGATTTGACGGCTTGCGTTTCAACCCACAGACTGGAAGGCCTCGGTGTGTTCTTCTGCTCTCTCTTATGGCAGTTCCTTATAGAACTACCTTTGAACAGCCCGGACAATTTCGAGGCCCCCTGACGGTCAGCTTGTCCTAACGGGTAGGAAGGAGGGAAAGAAAGTGGAGGAGCAGGGAGAAAGACGGCGAACTGAAGCAATCCGGACTCGGATGGTATGAATGTTACACTGCGGTATGTGACAAACGATCCAGATATCGCAATTTATGCTCATATATACATATCCCACCGCACATGCAGCCAAGGCATGAAATATCGCCCGATTCGTACCAGGTGCTTCGTTGGATTCGTTGGATGGAAGCTTCAAATACAATTGCCACGCCTATCTTCGAGTCACAGATATCTACTATTCGGAACAGGTCTGGTAGCGAGCAGAATGGAACGTTGAAAACGAGACTTGCAAGCATGAGAGAGCTGGTGTGTGACTCTGCCTTTGCCGTCTTTCACTTTTCTGACTATATTCAGCGATTGACTACTACAGTTTGACAACACCTTTTCATGTACAAACTTCGTTCGGGACCTATATCTCAGGCTTGCGCTCCCACTATTTCCCGCTCTTCTACCAGGTGACGGTACACTGCACCACGAAGGTCTAAAACGACCCCTTGAATCATCTCATCTTCATCTAACTGGCAGCGCGCTGCACCTTTTTCACTTCATCCTTCCCATTCGACATAAATTCTCAGCACCGGGCTTTTGCCTCGCGACCAGCGAACGCCTCACTGAGCCACTAAAGAATGCGAGGACAAACTTTCTTCCTTCCTTCCTGTTTCTATCACGGCATCGAGCTTGCGAGTACACAGAATTGATTCCAAGTAATTTTCTCGCACGCACGAAAACTGGTATGCTTCGGCGGCACGCGTTTGAGCCCATAGCAAGATGAGAGCTCGGTGTTGTCTTTCGCTCGCTTTTGTCGCGTTCAGCTCCTGCATCTCTGAAGCCGCGTAGAAGGGGCGAGCGAGCGAGCGGCAAGAAAGACATCAAGGCGACGTCCAAACGGAGACGATTCGGATTTAGGTAGCATAGATGACACACTGCGGTATGTACCGAACGGGCTGAATACCGTCACTCATGCTCATCCTATTGCTTTTCTACAGTCGAGGGGTGTGATATCAGCGGATTCATGCTGGGTGCTCCGCTGATCGTATGGCTTCTTCAAATACAAGTACCACACTCGACGACGACCGTTGTTGCGTGTCCAGCCTGCAAGACGAAAACTGGATGCGAAGAAGGAATGAGTTGACTTTTCCCACCTCGAATAGTAGCCTTCCGTCCGCTTGGGCGGAAATTTTTTGAGGGGCGCGAGGGTTAAGAGGGCTTGCCTTGTCGAACATCAACGTTTCCCGCCCGCCTAGGACGTGATGGCGACTTGATCATCCGACGCGCTTTCCTTCAATCTATGAACTGCTTTTGTCACGTTGCCGGCAGTTCAGTCCTCCCGTTCACCATCCTGTTTGAGGGTACTTTGGTCTTTGCTTTATGGCCAATGCACGGCTAGGCAGACGAGCGAATGCCTTCCTGACCGGACAAATTCAGTGACCGCCAACCAGGAGGATGATAGACCAGCCAAATTCCTTCTCGTTTCAAAGCTTACTATCATGTCGTTTTGCATCGACTGCACAAAGTTCAGTATGCCGCGGAGGAAACATTTCAGCCCGTGGTCCGGTACGTATTTTCTTCAATGCGATCTTTTTGCCTTCCTTATATGTCATATTTCTTCAGTTCTAGAGATCAGAGGAGGGGTTAGCGTATGCAACTCTGTGCTGCGTCTCATTCTTTTCCTAAGCAGCCGCCAAGGTTGCATGCCAGACGCTCTTCTATCTGGACGGCTTCTCCAGACACAGATGCGACGACTATCATCGTTACAATGAGACGTCCAGCGCTAAAGGACAAAAGTTAGCGGGGAAGAACAAAATTACTTGTCCTCTCTCAGCTCGAGTTATAGTTTTTCAGTCATTTCGTCCCGGTCTAGAGGAGAGCTTCATGGCGCTTGACTTTTTGCTATTCCCATCCCAGTCAGTTTTCGTACAACTGCGTATTTCGACCTTTTCTGACTGTGTTCAAAGTCCAGCCACGACAGACTGTCTCTGCGGTCCCGTTTGCGAGATGACCAGATGCTTCTAGTGGGTAGATGAAGCTGACAGTGAGGGAAATCATTCTGACAGCTACAAGATTATGATGATTGAAATGGATGGTGTTCCTTGATAGTCCAGTGGTTATCTCGTGAATTTATGATATGGATGTCGTCTAGTTTTTGGCCAGGGTATGCTATCGGTGCAACGAAAAGGATCGCAATCCAGATTCGTGCACTGGACCGTTTCGTTTTTTGGTCGTCGGACATCGGGTTGCCTTGTTATCAGTATATTCGTGGTGTTGATTGTCCTTCTGGTAGTTTGATGGCCACAGGACCTGAGTTCGAGTCCCGATCGGAGAACGTGATAAAATGAGAAGAGATTTTGATTGCGATTGGGTTCATTGGAGTCGTTATTATTATTTGGGATCTGTTTACTTTGCTGGTGCTGGTGCTGGTGCTTGGCAGTTTCTCGTGATACCTGAATTCATTATTCAGTGCAGTCAGGTTGGGGACCTGGTGTCCTGGTAGTCTACTTAGTAGCATATCATGTGTGTGCTAGGTTCGAGTCCCGACCAGAGATGTTAGATAAGAGTAGCGGGGACTTTTTGACTGGGATTTGTTCTCTCATGCCATTAAGGATGTGCGACGGTTTTAACACTTGCTCAAGGGTAGGGTTACGGCAAACATAACTTGAAGCAATAAATTACCCTTGGCCAAATGGTCATGCGAAACATTGGTACAATTTCCTTCTACATCAAAAATACGGAAAATACTAGTTGAAAGGTTCTCCAACGCCTCAGGGGACAACGAACTCATCTTCCCTCATTGTGTCGCATCGAAAATGGGATAAAGTATCAGCATAAGTATAGAATTATATGTAAGTAGATCTAGTAGCACAAATCGAGAGAAGAGTACGAAGCTCTTGCTCGCTGTGAAGAAAAGACTACATCACTTAAGTAAAGAAATACTAGTATGGGATAGCAAAAGGCAACCGGTGGACAGGTATAAGATAAAACGGCAGCTCAAATGCGTAAAGACATCAAGGTCTCTCGTCAACGTTTACTCGCTTCTGCTGGGCCTTCGGCCTCCAGCTGTCGCAGAGCCTTGGCTAGTGGTAGTGATATGTCCCCCGCTCCCGGTTCCATTGCCAGACGATCCTCCTTGACTCTCTCCACTTCCTGCAGAGCCTTGGCCATTGGTATTCCCTTTGCCACGAGGGATGTATCTGTGGTGCGTCGTATCATCTTTCTCTCTTCGGACAGTATAGAACTCACTCACCCTTGGCCAGAGTTAGATAAACTTGTAGAAATTTAGTCAGGGAAAAGCATATATGAATAGGGTGCGAACCTGGACAGTTCCCTGTGAACGCCGTTGAGAGCATTGGTATGTAAATAAGACATTTGAACGAGTCAGTACACACCGAGCACCTGGGAGGCCAAGGAGGTGTTTGAAAATGTTGAATTGCATATTATGAGCGAGGTCGAGGCGCGTTAGTTAAGAAAGAAAGAAGTAGCGTAGTGAAGAAATACCCACCTCATACGTCGTCTTTTATACCATAGCATATATTGATGTCTATTCCATCTTGGGTATGCTACAAGTCGGCTGTCATCTTCCTACATACCACCGACGTTTCAGTGTACGCTATACATCATAAGCGCGTCAGAATTCCCTGAAATCAAAGAACAGCGTACCGTAAATCCCAGTATGTAGACTATCCATCACCGCGCAGCGGGCTGATAGCACTGAAACCAGCAATGACCCACCATTCCATGCGTCATGAGCACGAACAAGCGATGGCGTCATGTGCACCAGAGTACAGAGGGGGCCAGCCAAGAAAATGCAAAGAAAACTTAATACATCGATGAGAGGGATCCCAGTATGCAATCCTCCGTGATGATAGGCAGGGCAGGATCGCCGGTATGCCTTACCAAGGTAACATCGGAGCACTATTTTTGGATCACGTCTATTTCTGAGTCGTTAAAGCTTGCTGAACAGGACATGATCCCGAGGACATAGCCAGCCAGAAAATAGTCCGGTAGACCTCTAAAGAGGGAATAATAGGAACGATGACTTCCTACAGGATGAAACAGCATGAACAAAGGTAGACGCGCTAGTCGTTGCGAAGCTCAGTCGGGGGACCGAACGATCACCGTACCGAGTGCCTGCGTCGAAACGTGCGTCTTTGGCTCAATTCTTCAGGAGTCAAGGTGTCCAAGGAATGCTATAACTGCTCGAGAGGTATGAGGCTTAGCGTATCAGAAACAGCATTCGTGCCCTTAGGAGGAGAAGCTGAAAGTGGTGATGGTAAAACTGTTCAACCGGACCAAGATCAAGTTCGACGATACAAAGATAGTCCGAAGTCCAGACTTAGGGGCCGATCGCCGTCCTGTGCCTGCCGGAGTTAGCCGAAGCTCACTCCTTTCAACCTTCATCTCAACGCTCGACAACCGCCCAACCGTCTTTCCCTCGAATATCGGCAGGATTCGCCTCTCCGTCTTTTAGACGAAGGTCTGAGTCGTAGTGGTAAATTCGAGGTGTTCTTATTGGCAATAAGGTATGTCCCCGATTCTTACTCCTGATTAGCGCTGACAACAGTCAAAGAAACAGTTACCAGGATAATCGAGAAGGATCCCGTTTGACCGAGATTCTAGGGTGTGATAGGTTTTGTGAGTGGTCTGTTTTCCGACGGCACGACGTTACGACTGACACTACGGGAAGACATGCATTTCGAATTCCAGAGATGATGTACCTAGGCAAATTTGGTCGCCGATAAGGAGAAGGAACAGAACTACGTAGTAACGTCACGGCGAGACGCGAAAGTGAGTTTTTCTGTGACTTTCTGCCATTTCGACCCAATGAAACTACACCAGTAGCACGCTCGGAAGGATTTGTGACGCGATTGCTGTGTAGCATTCCCTTGAAATCTTCAGATTATGCAGCTCCTTGGCCACTGCTCGGCATTACTGGGATGGAAGATGGTCACGATTCTCTTCGAGGCTGGAGACTAAGAAGATTGAATTTTTCAATAATTCCATGGTGCGTTTACCTTCGTATCATTTCAATGTCATGCCCGGCTGACTGGTATACAGGCAATAACCAATGTGATTCTGTTCAAGAACAGCCTATATTTCTGCTCTCATCTCGCACAGTAAAGATGCGTCAAACGTCCGGTATTGCGGTACGCCGGCTCTGGGTTCGAGTGCTGCGCTGGCGTACAACCATCTTCAATTCCAAACAATGTCATTGCCAGCATCCTCGAACTACGACTGACTGCTCACGACTCTCACCACGCCCCTCAAGGATTCCGTCCCCCAGTCTCAGTTCCCTGCTTTCAGCAATGTCTCCAGACATATATACTATTGCAGGACACGATTTCAATTGTCCTGGATCCACAGCAACCCATTCACAATGAATCACCAACTGCACAGGGCCGACCGCCTTTCTGTGGACATTTCATGCGTAAGCTATCGCTCGTATTCACCGGTTTTAAGCCAATCGTGCCTGTCGAGAGATCTATATGGTTCTGTACTCGCCCGGGCATAGAGATGTGGCATAGAATAACGTCGTCCGATGAAAAGGTTTGAGAGGATGTAGTTTTCGGGGGTGCGACACCGTTGGACTTGTTCTATTTTGCAGCACCTGCAGGCTGCGGGAGGGTGCGCAGCGCCCAAGATATTTCCGAGACATAGTGGGATTTGAATCGAAACATTTGAACGCGTCTTGAAGCTTGAGGCCTCGAGGCGGGCCCGAGAACAACTCATCACCTGGTAGATGCTCAAAGACGGACCCAGTCGCTCGTGCAAGTGATGCCTCTTCTGCTTATTACTTCAGCACCGGTTGTAGTCGCTTCTAGATTGTCGTCAAGCTGCTCGTGACCAAAGGAAAGCAGTATTTTTCTGTCGTCCGCTTTCAGAAACGTGGCTGGATGAGGGTCATGGGGTTAAGAGCATATGGGTCATTCTCGTCAAGTCCGAAGCCAAAGATCCATGGGCCTTCTTTGATGATGCGCCCAGGGGGCTTTCGTATGAGGATAGGTCTGGGTGAGATTCGCATACTTCGCAGACGATGACGACGAGAGAAGATGGGAATCGAATGACGCGTCAGCGTTGTGCTGAATCGCGTGGTGCGTGCGACTGCCGTTTCGAACTTTTCCCAGCCCGAAGCTTGCAGTGACACGACGACAAGCCATTTAATTTTCTGTGGGTCCAGCTCCCAGCGTCCGAGATAAAAACCAGTTGGAAGCGATAGTTTCCGACGTTTCCGCGTATCCAAGCTATGCTCTCCAATCACGGATATCTCTTATCAGGAAACAGATCTGGTAGTGGACAGAACGGGGCGTTGGAATGAGACCTGCGATGCGTAGTGCGTGGCCTTGACTCTTCTTTCTCTCATTTTTCTGACTATATTCAGTGATTGTTTAATATAGTTTGACAGCGCCTTTCCACGCACGAACCTCATCTGGGACCTATGAGGATAAAGTGGCAATCAGCCCTTCCTGCTCGTCTAGGAAGTGATGGCACTTTGGTTTTCTGCGTTATGACCAATGGACGGGGGATATAACTAGATGAACGAGCGAACACCTTCCTGACCGGAATCCACAGATGGATTCGGTGTCCGCCAACCAGGAGGGGATTATAGACCGACTGACTTTATGCGGTGGGGGCCATTTGCCCTCGTAGCTCGGTATGCATTTTCTTCAGCCCGCTTTTTTCACCTTCCTCATAAGATCATCTTTGTTCAGCCCTTAAAATAACTCAACCAAAAGGAGCAGGGATCAGGGAACGCCTATCCAACCTCAGCGTTATCGCATTGTTCCCTCTCTTTTCTCACTATACGGCATGTTTTCCCTCAGAGGCCCTCAAAACATCATGCACCGTTCTTCCCCATTCGACGTCTCTTTTCGGACACTCGGGTTTTTGCCTGATGATTGGGACCAGCGCACGCCTTACCGGGCCATTGAAGGATGCAGAGCTACTCTAGGAGCAACTTCCTTCCTGCCTGCCTGTTGCTACCACGGCACCACACGGAAAGGATGTCGTTCTTTTTCGACGGCGCACGGTTCAACCTGTGAGCTGGATGAGAGCTCGGTGTATGTGTTCCTTAGCCCGCTCTTACTGCCTTTGTTCATCAAACTATCTTTGATCAGCCCGAACAACTTTGAAGCTGCAGCCTCACGAACGAGAGGAGGGGAGAAGCAGAACGGGAAGAAAGACGACATCCAGGCGAAGGTGGTATAGATGATGCAGGGTACGTGACGAACTATCTGGATATCGTAATTCATGCTCATATCCCATGGCAGGACATGATGCATTCGGATTCATGCCAGGTGCTCTGTTGGCTACACGGCGTCTTCATATACAGTTATCGTGCTCATCCTCTTAACGACAACGGTTAATGCATGTCCAGCCTGCAGGGTGCAAACTGGAGGCGAAGAGCAAATGACTTGTCCTCTCCCACCTCGAATAATTGCCTTCCAGCTGCTAGGGCGGAAAATTTTTTGGGAGGCGTGAGGACCAGGAGGGCTTGCCTTTCCGAACGTCAGTTTATCCCGCTGGCACAGGACGCGATGACGACATATGATTATCCAGTGCACCTTCCTTCAGTCCATGAACCACCTTGTCGTCGGTTCAGCCTTTCCGTTCAACATCGCTTTGCTCCACGACCAATGCGCGGGAAAATACAGCACAGCAGACGAGCGAATGTTTTCCTGAAGATCAATCCGGTGACCGCCAACCAGGAGGATTATAGACCAGCCAACTTCCTTCTCGTTTTTACGACTCGGTATCATGTCGTTTTGTGTAGACTGTACAAAGTTCAGTATGTGGTGGAGGAAACGTCCAGCTCGTAGTTCGGTATGTGTTTCGTTCGATGCGCTCGTTTTTCCTTCCTTACAAGTCATCTGTTCAGCTTTGAATCTTCGAAAGGATCAAGGAGGAAGGGTTGACGTATGCAACTCTGTGCTGCTTCTTATTCTTTTCCTTAGCAGCCGCCAAGATTGCCTACACCAATATCTGCGTCACCGTGCGCACGTCACCTTGAAAGGTGAAGAGATCCTCCCTCGGATCCAACGTGTCGTACCGAAGAACGCCCACTTTCTGAAGCTGCATGGTGGCCCTCGATTCAGGGCGGGACTGATGAGCGAGCAGAAAGGTGACAAACTATGAAGACGGTTCGAGCATTGACGATATACTGCCAGTATGTGACGAGTGACCAGGACCCCACAATTCATGCTGATTATGTTCTTCTCTCGTAGTGTATGACATGCTCCTAGTCTCAGTCGAGGTATAAAATCACCGGTTCTCCGTTATCCGGATGGCTTCAAATACGTCTATTGTCCTCACAATGACACGTCCAGCCCTAAAAGACAAAAAATAGCGGGAGAGAACCTATTACATAACTCGTCCTCTCTCAGCTTCAGTTATACTTTTTCAGCTGCGTCGCCTCGGTCTACTTTCAAGGAGGCGAGATTCATGGCTTTTTGCTATTCCAATCTCAGTCAGTTTTCGTACAACTGCATATTTCTTCGATCTCTGACTGTGTTCAAAATCTAGCCACGACTGACTGTCCCTGCGGTCTCGGTGAGGATGACCAGATGTGTTCCCGGGTCGGAGAATCCATAACAGCTTATGAGGTGATGTTGATTCAGTCTTACTCCGTTCCTTGATAGTCTAGCGGTTATCTCGTTGCTCTAGCAATGTATCGACGTGGTGATTACTTTTTTTGGCCACAGTATGCTTGGGTAATGTACTATCGGTGCAACGAACGTCGAGCAGGGTTGCAATCCGGATTCGTGCGTTGGACCGTCTCGTCGGCCGTCGGGTTGCCTTGCTATTAGTATATTCGTGGGGCTAACTGTTGTGTCTTCTTTGCAAAAGACCTGGGTTCGAGTCCCGACCAGAAATGTTATCGAAGAGAATGAATATTTTTTGAGTGGGATTTCCGATTTGTTCTATTGCGCTATGAGGGTGCGTAGGTGGGATGTGTGACCTGCACGGCTTGATGTTATTTTATTCACACTAAGAATTAGCGTCCGCGTTTATGTAAATGGCCAACCGGGAATCTATGAAAGCAGTGCTGTCGGTTTCAGGTACATATGATAATTACCTTGCCGAAGTCAGCTAACTAGCTCCTCCCCCAGCTGTGGAGATTAAGAATTAGGTTGGAGTCAAGGGTACGATCGGAGATTTAATGCTTTAGGGACAGGTTTTTAGGAGCTTGGTCACGCTTTGTTTACACCATGTTGAAAGGTAAATTTATTGGATAAGTAACTATGTATGTTTACAATGACGAAGACAAAAGCGTAGGATTGTGCGATGTCTAGTGAGATTGGCTGAACTAGCTGTCACAGGTATTGGTACACCGGTACGATATGGAAAACACCCGCACAACGTGGTCCTGTATCAGCGTCATACGGAGTGAACCGGCTCGTGCAGCTGCTATCTTCCGAATCAGCGCTAAAACAGACAAGATGGGTCCCATCAGGGATAGAATAAGAGGCGACTCACCATACCCAACACCGGCAGAGAACTGAACACGCGCCTCCGCCTCCACACACCCCCAACACTGCTCCATGGGAGGTAACATCCAATTTGACAAGCACTTAGTTTGTCATTAGGGCGTACATTCCGGACATATTGCTGCAACCTCGAAGGTCGAAGGTCGAACACAACGTTTAACAAATTTCAATGCTTGAAGGGCATGCATCTAGCTCTGAGATCTGAGATCTGAGGAATGGAACGCCATGGAAAGGTCCTTGCGACAAGGATATAAGACGTAGATTTAGAATAAGGAACATGGCGCTCACTCAGAGACATTGCTCCGGTACGGGTCAGGACTGCATATGGGCAGTTCCTATCTTACGCGGCGAGCCCGATTCCAAAGGTCCATGGACCTTCTTTGATGATCTGACGGATGTGGACCTGTCTCTAAGCGTGATAGAGCTCGACGAAGGGTTCTTGTGAGCTGTAGACTTCGCAGACGAGGATGGTCATGATAGCGAGAGGGAGACAGGAATTTGAGTGACGCGTCAATGTTGTGCTGGATCACGTGGTGCGTGCGACTGCCGTTTCGAACTTTTCCCGGTCCGAAGCTCACTGTACAGTGACACGACACGAATTCAACTTTTCGCGGGTCCAGTTCCCAGCGTCGAAGAAAAAACCGTTGGAAGCAATAGTTACCGACTTCTCAGCATACCACAACTATGTTCTCGAATCACGAATATCACCTATCCGGAAACAAATCTGGTAGCGGATAGAACGGGGCGTTAGAATCGAGACCTGCAGGCATGAGAAAGCTGGTGCATGGCTTTGGCTTTACTCTCTCTCACCTCTCTGATTACATTCAGTGATTGACAATATAAGCATCGTATCACCACCTGCTCGCCTAGGACTTGATGGCACACTACAAAGTTCTCAATGACACTATGGACCACTTCATCGTCATCGTGTTGCACCTATATAGATCGGTCTTCCTGCTCGGCATCCTTTTCTAGGGTACTTTGGTTCCTTGCTTCATAACCAATGCACGGAACATTATGACCGGATGGACGAGTCAACGACCCAAATCCACTTCGGTGATCGTCAACTAGGAGGATTATAGGCCGACCGTCTTCATGCAATGGGGACCGTTTCCGCTCGTGGCTCGGTATGCACTTTGTTCAGCCCGCTCTTTTTGCGTTCCTTATGAGATCATCTTTGTTTAGCCCTTCCAGCAATATTCGGATGCATGCCTATACAAGCACGGTGTTATTGTCGCCCTCTGAGCGATGTGGTGCGTGACTTTTCCGTTGCATTCTCTCTCTTCTCACTATGACGATTAGCCGGCATGCTTTATCTCAGAACCCCACAATGCTCTCGACGCCGCGGTGTACCGTTCTTCTCCGTTTGCCATCCCATTTCGGACGCTCGGGTTTTCGCTTCACGACCAGCGAAGGCCCCGAGCCATTGAAGAAGGTGAGGGCCAAATTCCTTCTGCTATGGCAAACAATGACTCGATAGCATGCGTTTCAGCCCGTAGCTGGACAAGAGCTAGCGCTCAGGGTGTATTTTCTTCTGCCCGCTCTTATTGCCTTTTGCCATGAAATTACCATTGATCCGCCTGACGGCTAACTTACGCCAAGTAGGAGGGAGGGAAGGAGTGCAAGATGGAAAGTCCTCGTCCAAGCGAAGATGATCCGGGTGGCATACATGACGCACTGTGGTATGTGACGAAAGACCCAGATATTGCAATTCATGCTTATATTCCGTGGCAGAGACATCATGCATTCAGATTCATATCAAGTTCTCCGTTGGCTGCACTGCGTCTTGAAATACAGTTACCACACCCAACTCACGGCAACGATAGTTATTGTGCGTCCGACCTGCAAGGCGCACAAGGCGAAGAGCCCTCCGTCATTACGAGTTATATCATTCCATCCGCTTGGTCGGAAGGGCGTGTAGGTCAGGAGGGCTTGGCTTTTCGAACATCAGCTTTCCCGCTCGCCTAAGACGTGATGACGACGTATGATTATCTGGGGCGCTTTCCTTCAATCCATGAACTACATTTCGGCAGTTCAGCTTTCCCATTCGATATCTTTTTTGGGGGGCTTTGGTTTTTGCTTTACGGTCAAAGCACGGCCAGGCGGACGAGCGAATGCCTTCCCGACCAGATAAACTCGGTGACCGCCCACTATGAGCATTACAAACCAATCCGTTTCCTTCACATTTCACAACTTGAAGATCCGGAAGAACGGAATCGTTTTCATGTCGTTTTGTGTCGACTGCACGAAGTTCAGTATGCGGTGGGAGAAACATACCGGCTCTTGGTTCGGTATGTGTTTCGTTTGATGCGCTCTCTTTGCCTTCCTTACAAGTCGTATTTGTTCAGATATTCAAAGGATCAGGGCGGAGGGTTGACGTACGGAACTCTGCGCTACGCCTCAATCCTTTTCTTAGCAGCTGCAAGCGAGACCTATATCAATCTCTGCGTCACCGTGCGCTCGTCACCCTGGAAGGCGAGGGATCCCTCTGGCGGACACATCTTGTCCTACCGAATAACGCTCGTTTTCGGAAGCCGCCTAGTAGCCCTCGGCTCAGGGGGAGAGCTGACGAGCGAGCAAAAAGGTGACAAACTGTGAAGACGATACGAGCATTGACAATATACTGCTGGTATGTGACGAGTGACCCGGACCCCACAATTCATGCTCATTATGTTCTTCTCTTGTAGTGTATGGCATTCTCCTAGTCTCAGTCGAGGTATAAACTCACTAGTTCTCCGCTATTCGGATGGCTCACAATGACATGTCCAGACGTAAAAGACAAAACCTGGTGGCGAAGAACAAATCAACTTGTCCTCTCTCAGCCCGAATTATACTTTTTCAGCTGCGTCGCCTCGGTCTACTTTCAAGGAGGCGAGCTTCATGGCTTTTTGCTATTCTCATCTCAGTCAGTTTTCATACAACTACGTATTTCTTCCTTTTCTGATTGTGTTCAAAATGTAGTCATGACCCACAGTCCTGGCGAGGATGACCAGATGCTTTAGCGAGCATTTGAAGTTGAAAGTGAGGAAAATCATTCCCCGGTCAGGGAATCCATTACAGCTACAAGGTTATGACGATGAAGTATTAGAGTATTCCTTGGTAGCCTAGTGGTTATCTCGTGATTTCAAACCGGAGAGGTTTCCAATCTCGTAAACTTTTGGCCACGGCATGCTTGGATACTGTTCTATTGGCGTGACAAAAACTTAAAGGATCACAGTTCGGATTCGTGCACTGGACAGTCTGTACGGTGTCGGGTTACCTCGATATTAGTACATTTTGGGGTGCTAACTGTCGTAACTTCCGGTAATCTGGCACCACAAGACCTGGGTTCGAGTCCCAATCGAAAATAGTGATGAAGTGAGAAGAGTTTTTGATTGTGATTGGGTTCATTGGTGGCTAGCATTGGGACGATGCGGTTTTGGAATCTGCCTACTTTGCTTCTTCTAGGATTTGGGAATTCATTATTTAGTGGAGTCGCGAGAGAATTGTCGGTGTCCTGGTAGCATGTAAGTGCTGGATTCGAGTCCCGACAAGAGATAGTGTGAGAACGAAGTAATGAATATTTTTTGAGTAGGATTTCCGGTTTGTTCTATCCCGTCATGAGGTGCGTAACCTCGTTTTTATGTGCCTATGATAATTGCCAGTGAACTAACACCTCCCCCAACTGCGGAGAAGGTTTGCTTAAATGATGTTGAAAGATAAAGGGTAGGTATGTAAGGACGAAGACAAGAGCGTAGGATCGTATGACGTCCAGTGAGATCGGCTGAGTTAGCAGCCTACAGGTATCGGTATATAGTACACAGTTGTGAGCAGGTACAATATGGAAAGTACCCGCACGATGCGTTTCTGGATTAGCTCCCAGCATCAGGTAGGGTGATGATGCCGTTTTGGTACCGTTCGAGTCTGCGCTGTACCGACGATGACAATTTTAGCGGGGGCAGAAGAAGGTACGACTCACGGACCCCGCACCTACAGAGAATTGAATACGCGCCTCCGTTATTGGCACATCCACGCCGCCCCATTAGAGGGAGCATCCGTCTTCAAAATGCAAGGTTTCCCATTGGGACATATGTGCTGCTCGCTGCTCTGGAGGTTTCGGGCAGACGCATTTGGTGGAGTAGGCCACCATGTAAATGTCGCTGCAGGAAGGATATAAGAGATAGATTTAGAAAAGTTAATATGGTACTCACTACTAGCAGACATCACACTGGAGACGGCAGATGGGTAGTTGTTATTTCATCAAAGGCCCATAGGCCTTCTTTGATAATACACTCAAGTGTAACGGTAACAGGAATTGACAGGTTTCTTGAAAATCACAGACTTCACCGATGAGGATGACCATGATCGCGAGAGGGAGATGGGAATTTGGATGATGGGTCATTACCGCGCTGAATCACGTGGTGCGTGCGACTGCCGTTTCGAGCCTCTCTAACCTCTTATGTACCTCTCCGACGACATCAGTTATTTAATTTTCTGGGTCCAGCTCCCAGCGTCCGAGATGAAGCCTATTTGGAAGCGGTTACTGTCAGCATATCCCAACCATGTTCTCAGATATCTACTATTCGGAAACAGATCTACAGAGTGAGAGGTTGGAAACGAGAGCTGCGATGCATGGAAGAATTGGTGCGTGCCTTTGCCATTGCTTTCTCTCCCTTTTCTCACTGTAACAATTATTTGGCATGTTTTCCCTCAGAGCCCTACAAAACCCTAACGACGCCATGCACCCTTCTTCCCGTTCGACGTCTCTTCGGACGCTCGGGTTTTGCCTCATGACCGGGACTAGCGAACGCCTTACTAGGCTACAGAGCTATGCGGGGAACACCTTCCTTCCTTCCTTCCCACAGCACCGCACTTGCGCATATGAAGAATTGATTTCCAGTCGCTTTTCTTGCCAGACTGGAACGAATGATGTCGATTTACTTCGCCGGCTCGATGAGAGCTCAGCATGTTTTCTTTAGCCCACTCTTATTGCCCTTCCTCATAAAATTACATTTGATCAGCCCTTCCAGCTCTGAAGCCACGATCGGAAGAGCGGCAAGCCTCCGTCCAAGCGAAGACGACTCGAGTGGTATAGATGATACACTACGGTATGTGACGAAAGACCCGGATATCGCAATTCACGCTTATATCCCATGGCAGAGACATGATGCATTCGGATTTATGCCAGGTGCTCCGTTGGCTACACTGCGTCTTCAACACGTTCATCCTCATAACGACGACGGTTGTTGCGTATCCAGCCTGCAAGACGCAAACTGGAGGGGAAGAGCAAATGACTTGCCCTTTCCCACCTCGAATAATAGTATTCCATCTGCGGAAAGGTTTTTGAGGAGGTGTACGCATGTAGGTCAGGAAGGCTTGAGTTTTCGAGCACCAACGTTTCCCGCCCGCATCCCAATCGATAATCTTTTCGGATGCTTTTGCTTTTGCGTTATGGCCAATGAGTGGCTAGGTGGACGAGTGAATGCCTTCCTGACCAGATAAATTCGGTACCACAACACAGACTAATCTGTTTCCTTCGCATTTCGCAACTTGAAAACCTGGAAGAACGCAACCGCTATCATGTCGTTTTGTGTCGATTGCACAAAGTTCAGTATGCGGTGGAGGAAACGTATCAGCTCGTGGTCCGGTATGCGTTTTCTTCGATGCACTTGTTCTACCTTCCTGACAAGTCATATCTGTTCAGCTCGTTGAAGGGTGGGGGGAGGAGGGGTTGACGTACGCAACTCTGCGTCTCGCTCCTCTCAGCAGCTGCAAATGAGACCTATATCAATATTTGCGTCACCATGTGCTCGTCAACCCGGAAGGTGAGGGATCCCTCTGGCGGACACATCTTATCTTACCGAATAACGCTCGTTTTCGGAAGCCACCTAGTAGCCCTCGGCTCAGGGAGAGAGCTGATGTGCTAGCAGAAAGGTGACAAACTATGAAGACGATACGAGCATTGACAATATATTGCTAGTATGTGATGAGCCAGGATCCCACAATTCATGCTCATTATGTTCTTCTCCTGTAGTGTATGACATGCTCCTAGTCTCAGTCGAGGTATAAAATCACTGGTTCTCTGTTATCCGGACGGCTTCAAATGCGTCCATTGTCGTCATAATGACGCGTCCAGCCCTGAAAAGCAAAAACTCGTGGCGAAGAACAAATCAACTTGTCCTCCCTCAGCCCGAATTATATTTTTGCTATTCTCATCTCAGTCAGCTTTCGCACAACTGCGTATTTCTTCAATCTCTGACTGTGTTCAAAGTCTAGCCATGACTGACTGTCTCTGCGGTTTCGGTGAGGATGACCAGATGCTTTAGCGAGCAGATGAAGTTGAAAGTGAGGAAAATCACTCTTAGGTCGGGGAATCCATAACAGCTATGAGATTATGATGATGCGACATTACAGCTAGTGTTGCCGCGGCTCAGCCTATCTCGGCTTAACGCCGAAGTCGGTTTTGAGCCGCCGAGGATAGAAGGGTAGGGAAAACAAAAACACAGTTTTTGATAATACCAATAAGTCTTCTGAGTGAATAAAAATATCAAAACGCCTGTCATTTTGCATGTTGGTGCAGTGAGAGCAAACGGCTCAAAACCGACTTCGGCGTTAAGCCGAGATAAGCTTAGCCGCGGCAACACTAATTACAGCATTCCTTGGTAGCCTAGCGGTTATCTCGTGGGTTTGAACAGGGATGAGCGTGTTGCCGATTTTTTGGCCACAATTATGCTTGGGTACTGTTCTATCGGCGTAACGAAAATTTAAAGGATCGCAATTCGGATTCGTGCAATTAGTCGGGTGTTGGGTTGCCTCGATATTAGTATATTTGTGGGGCTAAATGTTGTGCCTTCTTTGCAAGACCTGGGTTCGAGTCCCGATCGGAGAATGTGATTAAATGAGAAGAGTTTTGATGGTGATTGGTCGCTATTATCGGGAAGATGTAAGTTGGAAATCTTCTCGCTCTGCTTGTTCCAGGAATTGGGAATTCGCGATTCATTGCAGTTGCTAGGGAATTGTAATTGTTGGTGTCCTGGTAGTCTAGTAGTGGTGGCATGCGAGTGCTGGGTTCGAATCCCGACCAGAGATGTTCCCAGTTGAAACGTGCGAATATTTTTTGGGTGGGGTTTCCGATTTGTTCTATCGTGCTATGAGGGTGCGTAGGAGGGATGTGCTACATACACAGGCTTGATGTGATTTTATTCATACTAAGAATTAGCATCAGTGTTTATGTAAATAGCCAGCTGGGAAATCTAGGAAGCTTTTAGGTACATAGTAGTATGATAATTATGTTACTGAAGTCAGCTAACTAACTCCTCCCTCAACTGCGTAGAGATTAAGAATTACCGTACAGTATGAGGTTCGAGTCAAGGGTATGATTAGAGATTTAATGCTTTAGGTTCGGGTTTTTATGAGCACGGCTGCGGTTGGTTTACACGATGTTGAAAGGTAAATTCGTCGAATAGATAGGGTATATATGCATTTACAATGACGAAGACAAAAGCCGCGTAGGATTGTGCGATGTCCAGTGAGATCAGCTGAGCTAGCAGCCACAGGTATTATTGGTACACAGTCGAGAGCAAGTACTATGATATGTAAATTATCCACGCGACATGTTTCCTGGATCAGCGCTCATATTAATGGACCGTGTCATGGCAAATTTGCTGGAGCAAGGATATGCAGTAAGCCATGGATTTAGGAAAGTTAACATGGCCATTGGCACTCACTAGCGGATATCGTACTAGCATATGGGTCGTTCTCGCCTCCGAGTCACGCAGTGTCAAAGGTTCTCGTTCATGCATCATGGGCTATCTTTGATGATCTGCCCGGTAAGATGCTGTATGTAAGGGTGATGGGGCTCGACGAAGAATCGCACACCTTCACAGATGAGGATGATTATGATGGCGAGAGGGAGATAAGAATTTGGATGACGCTAGGTACGAGTTCCGCGCGGCCCGAGTATCTATAAAGCGGCTTCAACACGCGCGTCAGTGTTGTATTTGAATCACGTGGTGCGTGTGATTGCCGTTTCGAAGTTGAACCTTTTCCGGCGACTTCCACGACACAATTCTCGCGGGTCCACCAGAGTTGGAGGCAATTGTTCCCGACTCTCAAACATGCCCTCTAGTCACAGATATTCATTATCGAGAAACAGATCTGGTGGTGGACGGAAGAAGACGTTGGAAACGAGACCTGGCACGAGAGAGCTGGTGTGTGGCTTTGCTTTTACTCCAAATCAGTAATAAGCGACGATCGCACCATTTCCCACTCGCCTAGGTCACCACAAAGATCTCAATGACGCTATGAATCGCTTCATCGTCATCTAGCCAGTAGCGCACTGCACCACCCAACCTTGTCACCTCCGCCCAAATCCAGCATAGGCTCCTACTACCAACCCCAGGTGCCCAACATCCCCCGCCTCCGTGAATCCCCCATTTTCGACATGGGGGAATCATATCCATCCTTACCGCATCCCGGACCTTCCACCAGCTGTAGGACTACCATCTGGCATATACCCCAGTTTTCGACACTGGGGTATCCCGTGGCAGCTCCCGTTTTTGGTCAGAGGCTCACTTCAAGCGGTGATTTGGTTTGGAGAAATTGATGATTGTCAGTTCGTGACATATGAGCATCGCACCTCCCGCTTGCCTAGGAGGTGACCGGTGACCGATGATAGCACATCACGAATTTCTTAACGACGTCCTGAACCGCTTCACCGTCATCTACCCGATGGCGCGCTACACCTGTATAGCTCATCCTTCCCGTTCGGCATCCTTTTCTAGGGTACTTTGGTCTCTTGCTTCATGATCTATGCACTCAAAAGTCCGCTCTTCCCCGTTCGAAATCCCTTTTCGGACAATTGGGGCTGTTTTCTTCACGGCCAGCGAGCACCTGTGACCAGACCTACACTCGAGCCCAGAGCTACGTGTCAACCACGGTGCCGCAGGAAAAGAATGACATCATTTTACTTCGACGGCGCCTGTTTCTTCAACCTGTGGGCTAGATGAGAGCTCAATGTGTGGCTCCTTGAGCCTGCTCTCATCGCCTTCCTCATAAATCACCTTTGATAAAGTGTAGTCGTGAACCACTGCCCTTCGGTCCCTCTGGGGATAGCTACTCAGGCCTTGATCCCTAAGCGGGCACAATCAGGCGCACTATTCATACTCATGCGTATCAAAATACTCCACTGGCCATATGCACACCCATCCTTACGGTGGCGACAGTTATAGCGTGATCAGCCTGCAAGACGCGAAGAATAAATCACTTGTCCTCCTTCACCCTCGAATTATATCCTTCCATCCGCTTGGGCAGAAAGGTTTCGACGACAATGCGGTGCAAACCTCTATTAGATTAGGGTATCTCCCTCAAAAGCGGCACACTTCCCGCTCGCCGCCATATGGACCGCTTCATCGTCATCTACCCGGCAGCGCGCTGCATCTTATTCAGCTCGTCCTTCCCGTTCGACATGATTTTTCAGGCGCTAGGTTTCTGCCTCACGATCAGAGGATGCCTCGCTGGGCCATTGAAGAATGCAGAGATATGCGGGGACCAACTTCCTTCCTGTTTCTACCACGGCACCGCACTTGCATATACGGAGAATTGATTTCCAGTCACTTTTCTCGCCAGACCGGAGAGAATGACGTTGTTTTACTTCGACGGCACACGTTTCAGCTCGTGGGCTGGATGAGGTTAGAGGTTAGAAATCCGGTATGTGGTCCCATGAGAACACTCGGTGTTTTCTTTAACCCGCTCTTATTGTCTTTCCTCATAAAAGTATTCTTTGATCAGTCGTTCCAACTCTGAAGCCGCCTGACGTCCAGCTTATGGAAGTAGGGATGAAGTGGGAGAGCAGGGAGAAAATGTCCAGGTGGAGACGATTCGGGCGGTATGAATGATCGTATGTGTTTTATGCGGTCCCTCATTTTGCCCTTCCTCATAAGTCATATTTGTTCAGCCCTTTGAAAGGAATTGAGGACCGAGACTTAGACAAGCGTACGTATGCGCCTCTGCTACGTCTCAAGTATTCCCCTCCCAGCCACAAAGAGAATCTTTGGAACGACTCGGGTGCTGAAGCTTGAAGATACACTGTTGTATGTGATGGACGACCCGGATACCCCAATTCATGCTCTTGATTTTGTTCTTTCTCCGTACATTGCCTGCTCCTAGTTTTAGTCGAGGCATGATATCACCAGTGCTCTGCTATGCCAACGGCATCTTCAAATACATGTACGAGGCCATCGTCACCATGATGCGTCCAGCTCTGAAAGACAGAAACTGGAGCCCAAATCATAAATTTTCAGCCACTTCCCCTCGATACAAACGTAGCACACATTTCACCACTTCGGAAGAAGGAGCCTTCGCTATTCCTTTCTATCGTTTTGTCCACAATACTCGGTGTTAGACCAACCGGTGTCGACGCGACATCCTCTCTCCGGTGCGCCTTCCATGTGGAAGAGGCGTATAACCAAAACACAATGCGGGGCGGCTGGGAAAGCCTTGCGTGCAGGAAACCTCGTTTCTGCCCCTTATGTTGCTGAAACGGCACCGTATCGGTCTGTTGTCGTACAAATGCGTACTGCGTCCTTTCTGATTGTATTCAAAATCTGGCCACGACTGCAGTCCCGGTGCAAGGATGACCGAATACTTGTCACAGGAAAGATGAAGAGATTATTCCCAGGCCGGAGAATCCATCGTGGTCCGCAATTGGTGTATTCTTTAGTTGCCGCCTCTCCTCGAGTCAGCGAACCACCGAAATTTCTCGATGGACCGGAATCGTGGTTGGCCGAAAAGAATGGGCTCGGTGAGTCGTTTGCTATAGGCTGCTCTTGTTTTCCTTTCTTATAACCCCTCTATGATTCTACACAGTCTCGTTCATGATTGATGATTGCTAAGCGGCATCTGCTGTAGAATCAAATCTTGGTCTACGTACAATATCCGGTTCCAGACTGATATCTCGCTCGAAAGCGGCAAGCAGCCATTTCCAGCTTGCCTAGGACGTGAAGGCGGCATAAGATTATCTGGCACGCCAGCTCTCAATGACGCCATGAACCACTCTGAATTTCATCTAGTCGACAGTTCAGCCTTCCTGTTAAGCATCCATTTTCAGGTATTTTGGTTTTTACTTCACCCGTAGATGGACGAGCGAACATCTCTTCGATCCGATGGCCGCCAACCAGACAGACCGACTTCCTGCCCATTTCTATCCCTGCATCGTGAAGATCGGACAGGCTATGACGCGCAAAGTTCAGCATGTTATGGGCAGGACGTTTGAGCTTGTGGCTAGGTATGTGTCTTCTTCAGTCCGCTCTTCTAGGCTTTTCCATAAAAAATTTCTTTGTTCAGCCATTCCAATTCTACGAAAGGAGCAGGGAGCAGTTTGTATCAGTTTCACCTTTTGGAGGTCAGATTCCAACCTGTCCTATCGAATGGCGTCCGCGTTCTGAACCCTCGTGATAGCCTTCACGGGAGGCAAAACCGCGAAGACGACTCAGGCATTGAAGATACAGTGACGCCTCGGCCATAAAAGACAAAAACTTGCCGGCGAAAAACAAGTCAACTTGTCCTCCCTCAGCCCGAATTATACTTTTTCAGTTTCTTTGCTTCAGTCTACTTTTCAAGGAGGACTTCATGGTGCCTGACTTTTTGCTATTCCATTCTCTCGCTTTGCTCACGATATTCGGCTGTTAGGTCAACCGGTCCCTCTACCGCGTTCTCGAGTCTCTCGCCGTCGTGTGCCCGTCATGTGAACTATATAATCCAAACGCAATGTAGGGCGGCTGAGAAAGCTTTGCTCCCAGGATAACTCCATTTTGATTCTTATATGCGGCTGACGCATTGCCCGTGAAGGCAGCCTCTCGGTCGGATTTTGTACAACTACGTACAATTTCCTTTCTGACCGTGTTCACAGTCTAGCCACGACTTCGGTTCCGGTAGAAGGATGGCTGAACGTTTGCCGCAGGCAGATGAAGAGATTATCGATTATTCCCAGTTCTTGTATTGTCACCTCTCCTCAAGTTAACGTCGCGAGTCGCCGAAGTTGGGAAGGTGTCTCCTGAGGATTACGTACTCAATGGACCGGAAGCTTTACTGTAGGGGCTCGGTGGGTCGTTTTCTATAGGTTGCATTTCTTTCCCTTTCTTACATTTCCTCCGTAGTCCTACATGCGTGTTGGACGCGGCTTATGATCGCTAAACGGGCATAATCTTTATTATCGTATTCCCCTGTCCTTAAGTATACGCTACAGATTGTATCAGTTTCTTGCATCCCGAGGTGCCCCACATGTTGATCCTACATGTTTAGGTTTATGTGAATTTCTCACTAGTCTGTGGAAAATCTACTCTTGTCCTCGAAGTATCCGCAGTTCAGGACCTCGAAATCGAATAATCGATGTGAAATTTCTCACCAGTCCTGCGTTCTTGGCGAGATATTGGCGCCTTTGAGTAGAGGATGCTTGCCACTTGCTCAATGATACCAGTGATTTGGGCCATCCGCGATTCCAAGTCCGTCCCAACCAAGATATTGACAGTTAACAGCCGTTATCCAGACATCCAAATCAGAATGCTCGTTATCAAGTCTCGGGACCGGCGTTCAATGTTTAACGCTTAAGTAGGTTTCGCTTTTACCAGCTATGGTCAATGCTCTAGGAACGGATTATCAACAAAAGCGCACAATGTGCGCATTCTTCTAAAACACACACAGGATTCGAATCACACGTGAAACCTGGTATTTTGGGGGACGTGAGGCATTTTACTAATTATACTCCCACCATCTGGCTCCGAGGCCAGGAACCATTAGGCTCGGGAAAAAAATGTGAGAGCCCGCTTCCTTGTTAATTTCTTTACAGAGAAATGCTTCATCCCGCCCGTCGGGTCGCTACTCACGAAGGCCATCGATGTATGCTTACCATCTATTGAAAGAACGGCCTGGTGACAAGAGCGCATGTCTAATTTTCCAGGCTCGAAACCCATCGCACTGGTACAACAAGGGCCTTCAGAGTATTTAAGCATCATGGAAAATCCAACACCTACCCAGAACCCAGAATTAGGTCCTACAACAATGCGTCTCCTCTCAATCATCTCTACCGCTCTCATCGCTGCGCCCCTCGTCATGGGCGTGGACTGGACCGTCCAAGTAGGCCTCAACAACGGATTCACGTTCACTCCGAACGAGATCCACCCCGCCATCGGGGACACTGTCACCTTCACCTACCTCACCAGGAACCGTACGCATACGCTCTTTCTCTGCTCTCCCCACCTACCTTACCTACCTACCTACCTACAGATTCGGCGACGACTACGACGTTCACCAATCCCTGCCCTCCTCCTGTGGGCGGAGTAGGACCGAACGCGTTCGACAGTGGATTGTGAGCTGTCTTTTTTTCGTCCACCGCCCCGTCGTTGGCTGATACCCTCCGTTCTCTCCTAGCCATGACTCCGTCACCTCGCCGGGCAGCACGTTCACTACCACGATCCTTGATACCGAGCCTCACTGGGTGTCGTGCATGCAAGCGGCTGGAGCGCACTGCCGCTTGGGCATGACGCTCTCCATCAACCCGACTGCCGACCAGACTGAGGCGCAGTTCATGGCCAATGCTATTGCTTCTTGAAGGGGTGAATGAAGAAAGAAATATTTATTCTGTACGAATTAGCTAGGCCTGTAGTCGAAAGTTGTATGTACTGTGTCTTGACATGGAGGTATTAAAATAAGCAGGGAGAATCGCCTCGATAACTATACACGCAAAAGCATACACGTCTCCTGCAGTGATATAATCGAGGCCAAACAACAGTAGATTCAGTACTCGAGTGCGAGCTGCTGAATAGACCCTCCCGGCGCCATGCAGAACTCGCGTCTCCACAACGATAGCTAGCCCAAAATCGGCGAAGCAGTATCGGTAGTCTTCAGTCACTAGTGTATTCGCCTACAAGTATATCGTTCAGAATTCGGCGAGTCTGACATAAAGAAAGGTACACCACAAATGCTAACAAGCCACCCCGCTCGCCACCGTCTTCCTTGTTCTACCCACCGAGCAGAGCGGCTCTGGAATAGCAAGAATCGCTTCACCGACGTCGGTTCACCACGAGTTGAATTCTTAGCTGAAAAGCTACAGGGTTCCCATCTTACGTCTAAGAGGCAGAAACTTGGGACAAAAGCTCTGTGCTCGGAACATTAAGATCTTTCATGGCACTGATTTTGATGTGGGCAATGCTAGGTGGGTCGGGGCGGCAACAATGGACGGGGCTTCATTCACATGGCTGTGGCAAGAATTAGCGAGCGTAGTAGTCAAAGGGTGATGATGGTAATGCAATTCTGAGGGCTTACGCGGCGGTGAGTGGGGCAGAATGCATGCTATCCAGGCCGGCCATTTGGGGGCCACCAGATGGACCAAAAGTATCTATAAAACTTATATTAGCATTAAAAGTAATGAAATATACCTTTATACCCATTCAACTGAGCAGTGTAGGCAAGCAGGCGACTATACGATGGACCATGGTAGCGGTCAGAGCAAAGGTCAGAAGAAAAAAGAAGGGTACAGACACTCGACTGCATCGGAGTGATTACGGAATGGATGCTCGGGAAGACATTACTAATAAGTTCCGAGATAAGCCAGAAGCGAGGAACGAGCGGATGGCTTATCGGAGGTTATACTGATGCTATTATTTAATAAGAGCAGCCGGCGGCAAGGCCCGCTACCTTGATCTTAGTATGTAGCAATCGAGCTCGGAGGCGGAGCATACGGTACGAGCAGTGTAAGTTCAACCTTGATTTTGGAATAGAACTACATTCACGCGACCGAACAAAACAAGAAGACCGCAAATTCATGCTCATATTATCTTTTGTCGTTGACGTCTACTAAAGATATGCCCATCCTCAGCGGAAACAATTTGTATTTGAGCGTTTAACAAATCGCAGGTGAGAATTTTCATTGTCATAATCAACGTCATTTTAATGTCGTGTTTTTGGACACTAGGGCTTCGCACCGTACCGTATACGGTATACGGCCGTATAGCCACGGTACAGTGACGGGCGACGGCTGGTCCGTATACCGTACCGTCAAGGCTCTCAGAACTAGGCTGACGGTACGGTACGGGTATATAGACGGCCGTGCCGGTCGTCAATACGGCCGTAAGGTAGTGGGAAAATGTATTACTCGCCATATTTGACAGGTGCACCGGCCACCCGTGGGCAATGTATTTCGAAACATGAGCGGGTAGTAAAGGGATGAACAGGAGTAGGGCAAAGGCAGCAGAAGTAGGGAAGAGCAAGTATTTATGCCTGCCATAAGAAATAGAGCTTCATGTGAGCGAGCGAAATAAGAGCTAGCTGTAGCGTTGAAGAGATCGCAGTGCTAGCGCATCGTGGTACGATGTTGAGCACATGGTAAACACACGTATAGCGTGCTCTGATGAGGGTTACTTTTAGACAACCCACACGGCCGTCTTTATACGGTTGTTAACGGGCAACGGGATATCCGTATACCGTCCGTGTCTGGGCAAAGTCTTTTGCCAGACGGAACGGATACGGTACCCGTATGACGGCACCCGTACAACCGTACTATACGGTGACGGTGCGAAGCCCTATTGGACACTAGAGACGACCGTAAAGTGTGGATACTGGGTGCCTACAGATGCAAAGAGGCCATAGTAATTAATACCCTGTATTCAATGTCGTTCCAGGCAAAGCAGCGGCGGTAGACGATGACTCCGGCGCTGAACAACTAGGATGGAATCTCAAAAATGCACGTGGAATGACTGGGATAATCTAATGGGATTGAGGAACATCGTGTTTGGGACGGAGAGGTGCGAAGGGTTCTTATGGACGGAGTGACTAGGCGTTTCTTATTCCTGGGTGTATGGTTCGTTCCCTTCAAACCCAAGTCAAGGTCTATCCTAGATTTTCATGGACGTCTGCAGGACAGGGGCGTCTATATGCCGAACTTCCTCGGATTCCTGATGAAAGATGGCATTCATGCAGAGATCCTGATGCGCTTCATCTCAATGTTGTTCTTGATTAAAGACTGGCCATGATTGCATCACCGTTGACGTTGAACGGTAGCGATTGGATTGACAATAGTATTTTCATAAGTGTTTCAATATCCTCTGCTAGTCTGTTGGTTAGGACGCACTCGTTGTGCGCGCGTGCAAGGGGGTTCGACTCCCAACTAGACAGTCTGTTTTACCAGTTGAAGTTTTCCCCCACTGTTGAATGCTTACTCGAAGCATAGGGTTGCGCATGCGCGTGAAACCTCCAAGGACAGTAAGATGGAGCTTCTTTCTGACCTCGATGTTATACACGTGTTTCTGTCGAGTCCAATTCTAAGTTCTTACCTCTAAATTCAAAACCATGAAAGTGTTCTCCGAGCTTGGCTTTCCTCGTTGCGAAAAGTACTTACCTTGCAGCACACAGAAGTAAACGCATTAGTGTAGATATAAGAATATACGAATATAAGTAGGTCTAGTAGCACAAATCGAGAGAAGAGCACGAAGCACTTGCTCGCTGTGAAGAAACGACTACGTCAAGTAAGTAAATAAATACTAGTCTGAGATAGCGAAGGGCAAGGGAGCGTGAATTATTTCCGGTGGACAGATATGAAATAAAAACGGCAGCTCAAATGTGCAAAGGCGTCAGGGTCTCTCGTCGACGTTTACTCGCTTCCGCTGGGCCTTCGGCCTCCAGGTTTCCCAGAGCCTTGGCTAGTTTGAGTTGGCCCTCCACCATTGGTTCCACTGCTAGACGGTCCCGTTTGACTCCCTCCAGGTTTCCCAGAGACTCCGCTTTTGACATCCTGTTTTCCACGAGGAACGTATCTGTGATGCGCTGTATGACATCTCTCGCTCTTCATACAACGTAGAACTCACGTACCCTTGGCTAGAGTTGGACGGACTTGTGGAAATTTAGTCAGAGAGAAGCATAGATGAATAGGGTGCGAACCTGGATAGTCCCCTGTGAATTCCCTCGTGAGTAATGGTGGCAAATAGATCATTCAAATGAATACACACCGAGCGCCTGCGAGGATGCGGAGGTGTTTGAAAATATTGAATTGCATCTTGTGAGTGAGGTCGCGGTGAGTTAGTTAAGAAAAAAAGAAGTAATTAGTGAAGGTAGGTAGGTAGGTAGGTAGGTAGTATACACGGCAGAATACGCACCTTATATTTCGTCTTTTATACCATAGCATATATTGATGTGTATTCCATCTTGGGCTCGTACAAGTCGGCTGTCATCATCTTACATACCATCGACGTTTCAGTATATGCTATACGTCATGAGCGGGTCAGAATTCCCTGAAAACACAGAAACGCGTACTCAGGTTGTAAATCCCCGACATCCCCCAGTGGACCGCGCCGTAATGCGACGTACGTACCTACCACGTGCAACATCTATCACCGCGTAGCGTGCTGATAGCACCGAAATCAATATAGCGGTCGGCCATTTTGCGTGTCATGAACGTAAGTAATCGATGGTGTCATCTGCACTAGTACGGAGGGGGCCAACGAAGAAATATACAGGAAAGAAAACTTGATACATCGATGAGAGGGATCCTGGTACTATGCAAACCTTCGTGATGATGGGCAGGGCGGGATCGGCGGTATACTTCATAAAGGCTATATCGGAGCATCATTTCAGATCATACCTATGTTCGAAGCACCGATGAGGCCTTCGAGTTCATTGAACAGCATATATTCTTAGGAGCAAATCAGAAGGTTCAGTGGCCGAAAAGGTATAGACGTGCAACGAAAGAGCTATGAGAAATTCAAGGAACGATAGCCTCTGACAGGATGAAACCGTGTAGACAAGCGTGTGCCTGCTGCAAAGCTAGATGTTCCTTACGAAGCTCAGTTAGGAATTGCGTGCCGATCGTCGTACTGTCGTCTTTGGCTGAATTCTTCGCGTAGTTGCCAAGGAATGCTATTATTGTCCGAGGTCCGAGGATCGGCATATTAGCAGCAGCATTGGTTCCTTCAACAGGGAAGCTGTAAGAACGGTATGCGACAGTAGGACCAAATTCATTGATTGATTGCCTAGCGACGATGCGATGCTCCCCTGTCATTCCACCGCTCCTTGATCCGAAACCACCATCTGGCTAATTTTCCCACGGGTAAATTTGCAACGATGGAGGGTGTAGAAACTAGCGTAGGCGGTACCATAACAAAAGATATACAAACTACACCTACGAAAAGCAAAGATCGCATCGCACAGCCCATGAACGAGACACCTAGAGCAAGACAAGGTCACGTCAAAAAGAAAATGGCCCTGCCGAACGACAGAGACCACCCGAGAGCAGTACCCTCTCGAAGCACATCGCCAGCGCACTCGAACTCCTCCACAGGATCCAAAAGGAATTGGGAAGGGGACGATGATGACTTCTTCGGGACTCCGGTGGGGAACTGGAGTGACCACATGTCGAGCATGAACATTAGGGAAAACGAAGCAAAGCTACAAGAACTGATGGAGGATACCATCACGGCCATGCAGGAGTACACCAAGAGTGGAGCAACAGCAGGCGAAGGGAGACTCAGAGAATGAGCGCAGGCTCTAGCACACGAGCTAACGGTGATGATGTCGGGAGAGAAGACGATCAGCACCGATGCGATGCTCCACCGGGTGTACAACCAGCAGGAAAGAATGGAGAAGAGGATGAAACAGTTTGAACGCTGCCAGATAGAGCTGGACAGAAGGGAGAGGAAGAGCGAGACAAGGATGCTGAATGAAGAAGTGTGCACCTTTAAACCCATTCCGAATTATGCAGCTGTTGCCGCAACCGCGAGTATACATAGAGGAGGAAACACAGAAACACCAGCAATGCATTATGTTACACGTCCCGTGAGACCAGCTAAGGCAACGACACAGAATATACCACCTGCATCGACACTCAAAAACCCCAACAGACCATACAACCCATGCCGCATGGTCGTACGAGCGCCAGAACTACTGATAGACTATGAAAGGCCTAAACCCGAAATGGTCGCCATCAGGGTCAATGAAGAACTAGCCAAGCACGACGAGACGAAGGAGTTCGTAGTCGTCCATGTACGGTTCAATGTGAATAATAGCTGCATATTGAACCTACGAAGCAACCAGCAAGCGGCAGATCTAGAACCACATGCACATATCTTCAAACAGATTGTGTTCCCAGGACACAGCGAAGTAGAAGCATACCCAGACGAGAAATGGTTCTCGGTCCATATATGCAGCGTCAAGACAGGGATAGTCGATGGAAGTGGAATCCGGACAGCTGAAGAAGTCAGACAGGAGCTCATAGCGAAGAACCCTGACATACGGGGAAGGACAATCAGAGCATTCAGATGGGTGAGACCAGAGGGAAAACTCATAGAAGAAGGGAAGTATGCATCATCGGTAGTTGTATCCTTCGAGAAAGAGGAGGATGCAAGGTACATGATGATGGAGAGGAGAAGCGTATCGCTTTACTGGGCATCGTGTATTGTGAAGGAGTTTACAGACAAACCACCGGCAATCCAATGTGAGGGATGCCAAGGCTTCCACCGGAAAGCAGCATGCAAAGCAGCAGCAAGGTGCCGACTGTGTGTGGAGGACCACCACGAGAATGAACACGCAGAGAAATGCTCACGGTGCATACAAGCAAGGGGAGAGGCATTGGAAAGAGGGGAGATGGCAACGGTCTGTATGCACAGGCGATGCGCAAACTGCAAAGATGGGGAACAAGCAAACCATGCAGCGAATGACCGGATGTGTCCAGTCCGGATCCGTAGGCTGGGAGATCATAGAGATCCAAAACCAACACACCCAGTGGGGAACATTGGAAATGTGAATGGAGGCTGGAGAAAGGTCACTCGCAAACGAAAAGGGAAAAAGCAGACAAATCCTGCCACAGAGGCTGGGATGGAGTCAGAAGCTGACCCACCCACCTCTGGCAGAAGGTACGCGAATAATATACTCTCTGAAAAAGAAATCATCGCTACGCTCCAAGTTGTTTTTCCAGAGATACAATCTGAACAACTCCAGCTGTCATGGAAACAATGTAGCAATGGAAGCTCACTGGCACAAGTCATCGAGGACATACGTGACCCAGAACAACCACGCAGTAGCCAATGAATGATACAACACAACACCAACAGACAACACGTACGAAACCCGTGAACTTCATGCAGTTGAACTGCTCACGGTCATCGTTAATCATGCGAGCAGTGCTTGCAGATTTATGTAAATCAATTGATGTGTTTCTTTTTCAAGAACCATGGTGGTGGAAGACTCCACATGGGAAGTGGATCTTGGCGAGCATGAATGCCCAGGAATGGCAGGCAATACTCCCAGCTGGGGCTGAGGAGGAGCGCCCATGAGTAATAACCTTTGTTCGAAAGCGCAGTGACCTCACGGTAACACTGAGATCAGACATTGCGACAGATCCCTATATACAGGTGCTAGACGTACAACAAGGAGGAACAAAATTATGGCTGGTCCATTTGTACAACAACCCAATGGACAGAGATGAAAATGGCAAGATGGCACTAGACAGAGTACAGAGGCTCGCCATTGACCGAGACGTTCCGATGGTGATTACTGGTGACTACAACTCCCACCACTCCCTATGGTCACGGGAAGGACAGCGGGAGAGCCCATGGGCAGAGGGACTTGTTGAGTGGATGGTAGAGAGAGGTTTACTGATGATGAATATGAAGGGAATACCCATGTTCTTTTCCAGAAGCAACAATGGAGCCGAGTCAGTCATAGATCTGACATTCGCCAACGCTGCAGCTATTACAGGCAACCTCCTGGTAGACTGGAGAGTAGATCCTGAATCCTCGTACACGTCGGACCACAGTGCAATATTCTGGAGGATCGATCAGGACGTGGAAGTGGTGGAAAATGCGCTTGGAGAGCAATACAACCTAAAAGATGCTGATGCGGGAGAATGGGAGGAAGACTTCAAGATAAAAATAGGAGGCTTCTCTGACAGCATGAGAGAGATCAAACAAGCTACGTCGGAATCCATGGACCGATCTCGACTAGATGAGATTGTTACCCAATTTCATACGCTGATCCAAGAGTCCACAGAGAATGTGGTCCCCAAAAGGAAACCAAGCACACATGCATGCGCATGGTGGGGGAGAGAGACGAAGAATGCTTGCAGACAGGTGAAGGAATTGCGAGAAGCGCAACGAACCCACAAAGCAGAACATGGCTGCATAAGCTTGGACATCGCAAGGGAGATCAAGAAAGCACAGAACTTTTTCAAGCGCATATGCCGACGAGCAAAGAAGAAATGGTTGGACGAGACACTTGCAGAAGCAACTACAGACAAGATATGGAGATTCAGCAAGTGGTACAAAACAGAACGTAACTATCCTTCACCAGCAATTAGCCGAGGCGAAGAGGAGACACCAGCGGTGACACACGAGGACAAATGTAATGCAATCCGAGATGAGTTATTCCAACCACCTCCAGAACTGCCAGATAGCGAGGAACCAGAGCTAGAAACTAGGAACCCGGGAGACATAGAATACCACGATGTCTCCAGGGAAGAGGTATGTTCAGCATTATTTGCCGGATCAAAGACTTCTGCTCCCGGTGCATCACAGATCAATTACCTACTGCTACAGTGGGCATGGAATGTATGCGAAGATTTCATCATTGCACTCATCCGCCTCTGCGCCGCCATGGGCTACCACCCAATGCCATGGAAAACAGCTATAGCTTTTGCATTAAGAAAACCTGGAAAGAAGGACTATGGTATGCCAAGAGCATGGAGACTCATCCAACTGCTGGAGTGCTTGGGAAAGGTCCTCGAACGCATACAGGCAAATAGACTTGCTTTCTGGGCCGAAACACGAAATCTGGTACCACCAACCCAGTTTGGAGGCCTTGCAGGACGATCAACAATCGATGCAGCTGCCACATTCGTACATGATATCGAGGCAGCAAGGGCAAGAGGACTAGTCACGTCATCACTGATGTTTGACATTACAGGCTACTTTGACTTTATCAACCATGCACGACTACTAAGGGAATTGCGCCGTAAACACATACCACTACCAACCGTGAAATGGGTATCCTCATTCCTCATGCAGCGACAGGCAGCGGTGTGCCTAGATGGCAAGCGAGGTCAGATGAAACCAGTGATGAACGGAATTCCCCAGGGATCCCCGGTGTCACCAATCCTATCAGCGTTCTACTCAGCAGAGATTCTGGAGCGATATACCCCACCAGAAGTACCACCACCCGAACCACCACTAAAGCCAGATGCTGCATGGTTTTCAAGGAACCCCCAGTGGCACACCAAACCGACGACAGTCATGTTTGCAGATGATGGCAACATCTGGGTTAGCTCAAAAAGCCTTGAGACCAACGTCGCCATCCTAAAAGCTGAGTATCACAATACATCGGATCTCCTCAAGTCGATTGGCCTTTCTTTAGACTGCGACAAGAGAGAGCTATGCCACTTCGTCTCACAAAAGGGGGTCACACCATTTCCGGCAATCATCCTGCCTGGCAAAACGGCTGGGACTGAAGTCGCAATTGCACCAAAGCTATCGACAAGATGGCTGGGGTTCTTCTTTGATGCAAAGCTGAATTTCCGGTCTCACATCAAGGAGATGGTGGGAAGGGCAGAGTCAGTGGTAAACGGGCTTGGAATGCTAGCAAACACCGTACGAGGACTGAGCCAGAACCACATGCAACAACTCTATATGTCATGTGTTCTCCCAGTTTTGACGTACGGAGCAGCTATATGGTGGAAAGGAAAATGGCAAGCATCTCATATCAAAATGCTTACACAAGTACAGAATCGAGCGCTACGCCTGATTTGCGCAGCATTCAGAACAACACCGATTGTTGCTCTAGAAATTGAAGCGTCTATACCACCCATCCGGCACCTACTGGATCTCGAACGAGATAGGTTTGCGGTACGGATATGCAAGTTCAGCGAAACAAGTCCCATCATCCAGCGACTAACAGACAAAGATTGGAGAGGTGGTGTGGCACCACGAGCACACCCGCCAATACAGCCCGACATTCCAATTAGAATGCGACGAAACAAAGAAAGGCCAACAAGGAGAACCTTCCTAGGCGAGCTAGAGTCAATATTAACACCGGAGGATGAGAGAATTTCACTATTCCCAATAGCCCCATGGGAGAAATCACTGACAGAATACGGAAACAGATTTCAGACCTCATTACCAGTCAGCGGTGAATCAAAAGAGGATGCAGCGAAGAAACATCGAGATTACATAAGGAGGTTCTCCTTCGACGACACCCATCTACTGTTATACTCAGACGGCTCCCTACTCGAATTAAACGGCAAACGACAGACAGGAGCGAGCTGGGTAGCGATGATTCGGGGAAAAGTGGTCGCATCACAGAGCATAGGGACAGGACCCCATGCTGAGGTGTATGACTCAGAGCTTATAGGCTTAGCGTGGGCCGCACGAAATGTACAACGATTGCGTGCAGCCCACCCAAGTGTACATCACATTCATTTCTTTGCCGATAACTCCTCTGCAGTTGACTCCATTATACGTCCCAAACGGGGACCAGGTCAACAGCATGCAACAGTGTTTTTCAAGATAGCCACGGAGCTCTTGGAAGAGGACGAAGAAACATCGCTGGAGGTAGCATGGGCACCCGGCCACCAGGACATACCTGGAAACGAAAAAGCGGACGCTTTGGCGAAGGAGGCATGTACAATGTTCGACATGGGACAGCGCACATATGCAAACGCAAGGAGAAGGATGCGAGAACGAGTACAGAAGAAATGGGTACAGGAGTGGGAAAGGACAAGCCCTACTGGCCGCTTTGGACTCGCAAACCGACTCAAACCACAGCTAAAACCAACCCAGAGGTTCAAGGAGACACCACGCGAGGTGTTCGGAAGGCTCGTACAGTGTAGAACAGG